CTTCCGATCTTGTTGCTAAGAGGCCCAAGGACATTTTGACCTTTAGCCAAGAAACAGGCTACTTTTCTTCAGTGTTTTTTACACTAACTTCCTTGCCACCTCCTACCTCCTATTCTTGTCACACTAGCCTCTGAAGAGGTTACCCAGCTTGAGGCTAGGGAATCAGGAAGCAGACTTCTCTGGCTTCTTCCATGCTGAACAGGAATGCAGGGTGAAGCAAATGGAGTACCCCTTCAGTGGGTCTGTCTAAAAGTCTCTCAAATTGCATAACTCTTATCTGTAAAGGGAAAAGAAAGTTCTTGACTGGTGAATAGGAGAAGTAAAAGAGAAGTAAAGGCAAGAGTAATTAGCACTTTCTAGACAGGGAACTAGAAAAAAGTTAGAACAGGGCAATTTTCAAATGTTCATATGAGAGTCCATTGGAAATTCTTGATGAAAGCTTCTGAAATGGGTTCCTCCTCATTTTTCTTTTGTCTTCCAATGCTGGACTCGAGAGTGATGGATTCAGGATTTGCTTTCAGACATTTTGATAGCTGTTGGAGTGGTTAGAGTCAGTGTCAGTTCCCTCTCAAAGGCTTCTAGATAGGAGGAGAAAACAAATTTAGCCATCATTTTAGAACAATAGTGGGTTGTCTCCCTTAGCTACAGGTGGGCACTATAGTATTGCAGACCAAGATTTGAAGTCTATATAAATTTCTTAAATCTGTTTTTATCATTGAATGTTTTTCATTCTCCTCAATTACAGCTGATAGTTTTGCCATTCCTCCACTTTGTCAGGTTATGGTTCAGCTGAGAAGTGCTTGGTCATCAGTTTGGGGGGGATACCTTATATTGATATGCAGATGGGGTGCAAGTTGTCTCAGTTAAGCTAAGGATAGGTACAACTTTTGAGTTGAGGTTCCAGGATTACTCCTCACAGTTCTGAAAGAGCATGGTGGACTGGGTAGTTTCTAGGTGAACAGATTGACTGATAGGTCAGGCTGGAGGGGCTCACAAGTATTTGGGCACATGGATCCTAGTAACCTAGGCATTTCTGAATAACAGGCAACTCTGGAAAGTCTACCAGCAGCAAGCAAGTGTCCTGACAGAGCTGTGATGGTGCTATCAGAACCCAGGGAAGTAGGAGAAAAGAGACTTACTAAGACAGATCTGGGAAAGCTCCTAGATCTGGGAGTCCAGAAGAGTCCTGATGTGATGGAAAGTAAAGTCAACAAAGAATTGCTAAAAGCTCTTGCAATGTGATGGTAGTGAAACCCTTTGGATAATTGATAAGAACTTTGGTTGGTCTCAGGGATTTTTGGACCCTGAAAGATCCCAAGATAAGATCAGAAATAAGAATGAGGGGAGGTAAACAGGAATCTGCCCCTGGCCCCTGCTGCATTCCTGTAACCTTTAGGACCATGTTACATACCAGATGTTACGTGTAGTCAATTATCACATATGTGCTATTTGCCTATTGCTTGATTTACTCACATATGAATTGACTATAAATTTCCCCCAAAAAACTTGAGATAGACCTTGGCACCACCACAGGGTGATCCGGGTGTCAGTCCACCTACATGAATAAAACTCATTCTCTTTCTCCTGACTTGGTCTCCTGACTCTAGGAGGTTTCTGTAACATTAACAGAACAGAGATTGCTGGCAGTGCAAGGAAGTGCACAAAAGTGAGCGAACTTGTTATATTCATTTTTGAGAGCACTTTATGGTTATAGGAAGCTGTGGTGGTTTGAAAGAGAACGTCCTCCATAAGCTCAAAGTATTTGGACATTTTGTCCCCAGTTAATTGTGCTATTTTGAGAGGTCTTAGAAAGTGTGGCCTTGCTGGAGGAAGCATGGGACTGCAGTGGGCTTTGAGAATTCTCTAAGCCTTGACAGATTTCCATTTGCCACCTGCTTCATGTGCCTTCTTCAAGATATGAATGCTCCTCTGCCCAACACCTCCATATCTCCCCACAACTTTTTTCTTTTTCTTTTTTTTCCCTTTGGTCTTTTTGAGACAGGGTTTCCTTGTAGCCCCAGCTGGCCTGGAACTCACTATGCAGACCAGGCTGGCCTTGATCTCACAGAGATCTGCCTGCCTCTGCCTCCCAAGTGCTGGGATTAACATCTGCACCACCATGCCCAGCATGAAACAACTTTTTTCTAGACATCAAAATATCACGTTCACCCATGTATGTGTGTGTGCAGATATGCATTTCATGAATGTTTATCTTTTATGTAGCTCTTACTATTTCCTAAGTTCTGCCAGCTCTATAAGGTCTAGCCTCCTCTCAAGGAGTACTTTGCCTAGGAGTAGACACAAAACAAAGAAGCACAATAAAATGTCCCAGGAAGAGAATGGGGTACAGTGTGCGTAGAAAACATAACAATGATCAGCTAACTTGAGGCAGGGTCTGGGCAAGTCTTTGTAGGTCACCTTGGGTCATTGTTTCTGGTACGTGGAAAGGTAGAAGGCTAGGTAGACAAGTGAGGGAAGTAGTTTCCAGAGCCTGGTCAGTCATATGGCTTCTTAAGCTTGCCTCTTAGGCCTAACTGTGTAAGTATATACTAGAATTAAAGGTTATTGTGATAGTGGGAGGTTTGCATGTGTCTGTGCACTCATATAGGTGAAGCTGAAGAAAGGAAGAGAAAAAGCCACACTTAGTTTTCATTGTTGTTTGGGGGTAGGGTCTCTCTCTGTATCCCCAGATTACTCGTTCTTTTGTTTTTAAAAGATTTTATTTTTGTTTTACTGTGTTTGAGTGTTTTGCCTACATGTATGTAAGTGCATCATGTGTTAGAAGAGGGCATTGTTTTTTTTTTTTTCTGTCTTTGAGACAGGGTCTCTCTGTAGTCCCAGCTGGCCTTGAACTCAAGAGATCTGTGTGCCCCTGCCTCCCCAGTGCTGGGATTAAAGACTTGTGGCACCATGCGGAGTGCTAAGAAACACTTTTTAAGGCCAGCATGGCCTACAGCTGGGGCAGCAGGAAGGCTGTCTCAAAAACAAAACCAAACTGTGAAAGGCATTTTCACCCAAATAGAATCATCCAACTAGTTATTTAGACAACTCAAAAATCTAACAATTCCTTTCACTGGTCCTCAAATGTCTCTTCAATGACCAAAGGTCACAAGAATAATTACAGAATGGGATTACCTGCCCTGTTCTTTCAATTATTATACCTGCATTAGACAACTGAGAAAGTTGCTTTACACCAAAGAACAGAACCAAAAAGCAGGGTGCTTTTGTTCATTTCCTGGCTCAATTCTTCTTGTAACTCGTTCTAGCAGCAAGTATGTGTGGGGTTCTATTAAGATGGTCTGACCAAGCAGGAATACACACCTGAACTTCATCATCCTTTCGAATGGGCATAGATCGAACATTGTACTTCTGTCTCAGCTCTTTAGAAAGAGGGGAGGACATGATCTTCCTTCGAATGTGAGAAGGTGCATTGAAATGCCTTTTCCGGTTCTTGCTTCGGTCAGAAGTCACAAAGGGATTGAACTTCATTTTGGCTAAATAAAAAAATTTCAGACACTTAACGGTTAGTCTCATCCAGCTTCTAAACAGCTTCACCTCGTAAGCTTAAAATGTTCACAGAGGATGTCATAAAATATTACTCCGTCAAACCTTGAATGACCTAGCTTGAAAGAAACTTGAAATTCAAAGTGTTTTGGGGCTGGAGACTGTCATTTTAACAGTTGTTTTAGATATGACTTGTTTACAGTCTAAAAAAAGTATTTCGTTGAGGAATGGATTTGCTAATACCTCGATCAGGAGCAAATAATCTAACTTTTCAAATACAAAGACTTAGCAGGATTAGCCTTCTCCTTTCACCTTTTATGGACTCAAGGGGACTATACTCATCCCCTACAAAGCGAAAGTCAGGCCTCCCCACCTCCAGCCTGGAAACTCGGGCACCGATTTCCGGTCCAAAAACCTTTCCAATGGGCTAGAGGACCTTACCATGCACAACTGTTTCGAAGCTACTGTTTAGGCGACTACAATGTTCAGTCTTTACTGAAACAGTCATCCCTCCCGCCAGGGTTTTCTAGTCCCGTAAGCAGTTCTCCCCTCTCCAGCCCTGCGGCCCCTGGCGACGAAGGCAGCGGGCTGAGCCCATCGCGGCATCACTCCCCGGCTAATGTCCGATCAGTAAAATAATCTCGAGACCCCGGAGACAGAAAGCCATGCAGCCCCGATATGGATGGCTGCGGATGACCCCTGATTCCCTCACCACAGTCTCACCGGGTGCCACTTCACCGATGTTCGCAAAACGGAAGAGAACTGAAAGCAACTTCCGGTTCTGTAAATCGTCGAGAAATCTCGCGAGACCGCTGCAGTGGAGCGAGAGGGGTGCGGAGATTGAGCGCGAAGAGGAAACTGGGAATGCAGCGAGAGACTAGAGTCACCTAGCGGCCCGGAGGGGAGCTGCATGGGCTGATGTCGCCCACCGGAGATGTGGGTGCCTTGTTGAATCCTCTGTGGACTCCGGTACCCAGAGAGGGCCGCTAAGCGCCCGACGGCTCCACGCGATTGGCAAAGGAGCGAGCGGATGCGGGGGACTCCGCCCCTCCACTCCGGAATCCCCCCTCCAACCTCCCCAGCGAAAAGCGCAAGGCCTATTTTTAGCCGCCCGGTACCTTGTCCAGGCAGTCACCTAGATAACCTAGGACTCACCGCCGCAGAGGCGTGGGCTAGTAAAAATTAGCCCTTTTAACGCGCTCTAGCCGGGGGCTTTCACTCCTGGACGAGTTCTGACTGCTCTGCATCCTCGGAGATTGACCTCCAGCCGGCAACCGGCCTTCAAGGGAACTCCTGGAAGGACAGAAATAGATCTTAGCTCCCGGGTGATGCTATAGTGCTGGTTCAGGCCGACCACACTTTGAAGGAGACGGACACGGGGAAGCTTCTCAATGCAGACAGGTGTACCCTTTAATTTTTTTTTTTCTGCCTTTCTCGTCCAGTTCCTGATCAGATGGAGGCAAGGAAAGAGGGTCCAGTCCCCTGCAAATGGATTCTGAGGCATCGGTTTCTGTTGAATGAATAATATAGGTGTCATACTGACAGGAGACAGACATTTCGTAATAGTACACAAGACAGGGCGCTTGTTGAATGCTAGGGACTCTTCTACACCCTTTACATTACTAACGTCTTTAATCTACAAGATTAATACCTGCTAATGCCGGTATATTATTGTCCTCGTTTTGCAGATGAAGTAACTAAGCCATAGAGCAGCGAGAGGAAGGTGCAAAGAAACGACAGAACCCATGATTTATAGCTGAACCCATGCAGGCTGGCTCCGCAGGCGCCCCTGGTAACTAACTGTACATGGTTCAAATTTGTAGGAAGTTACTGTCAAGTTGAAGAGGGAGAAACCACACCTTTGAGGGATCAAAGTGAAGTCAGTAAGGAACATGTTTTCGTGATTTTATTTTATTTATTTTATTTTTATTTTATTTTATTTTTTTATTGTCTTTTTGAGACAGGGTCTCCCAGTAGCCCCTACTTTGTAGACCAAGCTGGCCTCAAACTCCCAGACACCCGCCTACTTCTG